CTTTCGTGAACACTTTGCTATAATTGATTGCAGCCTTTCATAGAACTGATCTTTATCATCGTCGTTGCTATCATTGGTGGGTGCATAACATTGGATAACATTCATTGTGATCCCTTGCTTCTTTGTTCTGAATGATGCTTTGATTATCCTGGGTCCATGAGATTCCCATCCCACAAGTGCATTTCGTGCTTCTTTGAACAGCATTAGAGCAACTCCCTGAGTGTGTGGCGCATTTTCCCCTTCGTGACCGGAGTACAGCAGCATCTCTCCTGTACCTAGCCTTGGTTGTCCAGTTTGTGTCCAATGGGTTTCGCTGATTCCGAGTACTGCCAAGTTGTATCTCCTCATTTCCATTGCTATTTGGCTGGTTTTTCCTGTTTCCCACATTGTCCGGACGTTCCATGTACCTATAAAGAGTGTTGCTCTGGTTGTTAGAAGGTGCATCGGTCTCGTGACTTCCGAAGAATTTCGGCTTTCATCATGAGACGTCATAATTATTCCTTCAACTCGGAGGGCAGAGTTTAAATGGTTTGGATTATTTTTTCTGGTTAGCGTTTTTTTAGCGAGTTAGCTTTTCTACGGGATGGGGTCGCTAACCCCATGCCCAACCCTCCTCCTTTACCCGGGCTTGGGACCGGCAGTAACTCTAGAAGAGCTACAGGCGGAGTTATGAATATTTATACGAAAATGTTAAACCAATCATGGCAATTTGAGTCAATAATCACAATCAAATAGACTACATCACCGCATATAATAGGTAAAAGTATAAGTTGATGGTGAAAAGATAGGTATACTGATCCTGATAATAAAGATTGAGTGATCACCAGCTAGAAGTTCAATAAATCGACATCTAAATAATGTACATTCCTTTTGCTGGATATTGTCAGCAACCATGATATTTTTAACTGAACCTTTTGTAATTTGTACAACGAAAGGTTGTACACTTTTCACAAACGCACTTGAATATGCAATTAATTGATATAAACAACGTTTATAATAAGCAAAGATGGATAGTGGTTAGCAGTGGACGAAACGCACGTTCTTTACTTAGAATGCTTGTAAATTAAGGCAATAACGACGTAATACGCACAAATATACACATATGGAAATAAGAGGCTGATCAATTACAGTGTTAAAGATCAATGGGAACATTAAAGTAAAAACAATATCAAGTAAATTTAACATTTATAATAACTAAAATGATTAGATAACATATTCAGATGATAACGATTTAAATAATGACTTATCTTCATGTTCGTTTTTTACACAAAATAAGTTATCTTTGTTTTTTTCATAGTTGAAATCATGAGTCAATTGAAGCTAGACCACTATTAGAAAACCTGAAAGCAATGGACGACCGTTTCGTCCTATTGTGGGACTCCTCAACAGTGTGCATAAACGATCCCGCCTCGCGTAATTCTCAAATTTACCTAGCCTATAGCCAGTAAATGACTAAAGCTGAACTTATATTACCCAAACGGAAACATTTGCAAGTTTTTCCTTACAATATTGACTTGATCGTCAATTTGTTACACCATTTCTGGAACTTCTCTCTCTTATTTGATTTATATTACTCTATTCAAACTCATGATCATATTTTTTTTTTACTTTTTAACTAACTGGCCTTAACTCATGTTATTCTTAATTGTTACTAATTTATTTTCAACCGCTTCATTATATAATCAGTTTATTAGTTTATTTATGTGAACCCTTGTTACTATGTCCAATGGTCCAGAATCTTCTCTCACATATTATATTTATCTACAAAACTCAATTTATGTCTTTACTCTCACCACCGTACTGTGATGATGAATACCTATTTATGCTGTTATAAGTATGTAAACTTTAAATATTCTAAGAAAAGATAGACATTGGCTAGCAGTGGAATCCAGGATACACGTTTTGTCTTATTTGGGACTGGTCAGCTGGATGTACCTGCATCTCAGAGTTGATATTCACTCTGGAACTCGAAACCAGTACTTTTTGATTCAAACTCAATCGCGTTATCCACTCGGCCACTGAGTCCTGATAGCCATCTTTGCTTGTCACGCTTGTGAATTTAGGCTATATCGAAGTAATACGCACAGTATGCACATATGCCTATTAGAAATTGACCAGTTGCAGTCCTAAAACATGAATGGGAAGATTCAAACAAAACGACACTAAGTGAATTTAAATATTATAGGTTGTAAGGAGCTGATGAGAACCTTAAAAAACAAAGTGATTGCATGTTATTCTGTTCAATTCTCTGTTTATGTTCTATTCAAGTGTGAGATACTTATTATTTTAAGGATGATTTGAGTCAAATATAGAATGATGGGAAAATTTTCAACAATAAAAAGTTATTTCATCTTAACTCTAGAACTTTTTAAACAGTAAACATTCATGAAATGAAAATGTTTTTGCCTTAAGGAAGGTATGATATCATTCAATCTCTGGATTGCCATTTTAGCAGTTCACATTTTGACTTTAACGGATTTATAATACTTACTTACTTACGCCTGTCACCCCTCGTCGAGGAGCATAGGCCGCTTACCAGCATTCTCCATCCAACTCTGTCCAAGACAATCCTTACCAGTTCTTTCCGGTTGTTATTCATTCTTTTCATATCTGCTTCTATTTCCCGGAGTAATGTGTTCTTTGGCCTTCCTCTTTTCCGCTTCCCTTCCGGATTCCAAGTTAGGGCTTGCCTTGTAATGCACATTAGTGATTTCCTTCATGTATGTCCTATCCACTTCCAACGTCTTTTCCTAATTTCCTCTTCAGCTGGAACATGCTAGTTTGTCCTCTCCATTAAAACGCTTTAGCTGATAGTACATTGGTTCAAGTTGCCATACATTTATTTGTAATACAAACCATGAATTATCCAATGTATTACAGATGGATGAATGCTTCATTCTTGAAAAAACTGGTTTCATAGGTCATGTTTCAAAATGATTTCTAACAATTCATATAAACGTTTCTCTATACGATTAAGATTGTACGAAATTGAAGAGAAACAACAACATAAAATGAATTAATAATATTTTAAGCAAAGATGGATAGTGGCTAGCAGTAAAATCCAAGACACGCGTTTCGTCCTATTTGGGACTCGTTAGCTGGATGTACCTGTATCTCAGAGTTGATGTTCACTCTGAGACTCTAACCCAGTACCTTTGGCTCCAAACGCCATCGCGTTATACACTCGCCCACTATCCATCTTTGCTTACAATGCTTGTAAATTAAGGCTATATCGAGGTAATACGCACAGTATGCAAATGTGCCAATTAGAGACTGACCAGTTGCTGTCCTAAAACATCGATGGGAAAATTCAAACAAACAATACCAAGTGAATTTAATAATATTCTGTTTCAATTGTCGTTTTTACTTTTTCCCATCCATAAAGTAATACCTAACATGTATTATTTGTAACGTAAGTTTACCTTTTTCCATTTTGTACTATAGTTAATATCTATTGACATGCTGAATGGATAATATGACACATACGGCCTACATTCCATTGATTTTCACATTCTATCTATTCTATATTGACCGTTTGTTTAATGATGTATAACAACATGGACCAATATATACTTGTTTATCTTAATCCTTATTTGATTATGGCTAACTTACTGACTGATGGTTAGAGACCTTGAATGACATGGCTCAAAATAGTTTACAATGGTGAAGGTGCATCCACTATTTGTGTTCTGCTAAACTCTTCATGTCTCTATCTTAATTCTCTTTTCAATGTAATTTCACTGGATTATACTCCTTGAATAACATCTTCAAACCCTAACCTTTCCGATTACTGTTTGTAATTTTACTACTTCTACCATTATGGGATTTGAATCAACAAGTGGATCTCTTTGATAATGTAGTATGGCAACTCGAACTGATGTACGTACGTACGAAGTTCTACGTTGTGACTGACTGGCCGACTAATTGTTAAGGATAGATCATTTGATAATACTAGTTAAATATTAATGTTCACATATATATAGGCAGGGTTGCCCGATCTCACCATTCCTCTTTAACTTTGCCATCGATGACATCCCGGAAACAGCTCTGATGGATGTAAGTAATAGCGGTGTGGATATGTTGCCTGGAGAACGACTTCTTGATCTTGAGTATGCGAATGATATTGTCTTACTGTGCGATAATGCCCAAGGCATGCAATCCGCACTTAATCAGTTGGCAATCAGTGTCCGCAGGTACTGCATGTGCTTTGCACCCTCCAAGTGCAAAGTATTCCTACAAGACTGGCAGGATTCTCATCCTGTACTCACTCTGGATGGTGGGCAGGTTGAAGCAGGTGAGAAGTTCGTGTATCTAGGTAGCTATATAAGTGCTGGTGGTGGCATGAGTGATGAGATTGATGCACGTATAATGAAAGCCAGAGCGGCTTATGCCAATCTGGGCCATCTTTGGCGCCTTCGTGATGTTAGTCTGGCTGTAAAAGGTCGGATCTACAACGCGTCGGTGAGAGCAGTTTTGCTCTATGCTTTTGAAACCTGGCCTCTCCGAGTTGAGGATGTTAGACGTCTCTCTGTGTTCAATCATTGTTGTCCGAAGGATTGCTGACATCCAGTGGCAACATCATGTTAGTAATACAGAGGTTCGGCATCGTGTGTTCGGGCGCAGAGACGACAATAATTCAGTTGGTGTCGCTATCTTGAAACATTGACTTCGGTGGCTTGGACATGTTCTACGAATCTCTTCCCAGAGAATTCCCCGTCGTGCATTATTTGCCGACGCTGGGACTGGTTGGAAAAAGCGAAGAGGTGGTCAGTGTATGACATGGTGTCGTGGTATGAAAGAAAGCTGCAAAAGGCTGGCTTCTGTTGACCCTTCACGACTCCCTGGTTGGGGTTCAAGAGATGGTGTCATTTGTAGTATAGACTTAAACCAGATCAAAAATGTTTCCTTTCTTTTTTTTCAAAAAAAAAAAAACGTTTTACCTTATCACATCCATTTTATTGTTTGTTTATTTTTATTTTTATTGTTTATTTTTCTTCTAGATTTTAGCTTTATTATTATCATTAATTAGTTTATTATTATTTATTATCGGATCAATAAGTACATCATGGATTCATATTGATTTTAAATCGATCGGGTTATTTCAACAATGTGGTCGTTTATTAAAACAATCAAATAATAATAATAATAATAAATTCAATGAAATTGAACGAATTTGCCAATTACGTGATTTACTGAACGGTGAGTTTTTTTCAGTTTTTTTTTGGGGGGGAGGGGGTGGATTTCTTTAATGTATAACAATGAATTATCATTGAATATTGATCTGAATTTTAGATCTTACTATATTCCCTATTTGATAAGATCAAAAAATTTTTTTATTTTTCTTATCTGACGGACGGATAGACGGACGGACGATGTTCATCTCAACTAATAATACGATAACTGAGAAGTCCTAAGACGTGCTGGTCAAAAACATTGCTGTTTTTGACCCTGGAAACTAAACAGAACAAATCAATAAACTTAGAATTATTTTTATTAATTAAGTGAATAAATATACATTATTAATATGAAATCATAATCTGTTTACAGCTAAGTTATAAGTATTACAAAACTAAGTAATCAATGAATTATTGATTAACAATAATCAATAAATTGATTGAAAGTTTATATATATAGGACAGCATAAAAGTACAATAAATTAATTAATTAATTATCAGAAGGGGTTTTTGTGGAGATTTCAATATTTTCATAGTTGAAAGCGTGAGTCAATTGAAGCTAGACCATAATGGGAAATCTGGAAGCACTGGACGGCCGTTTCGTTCAAAACACGTTTGTTGTGAGATATCAACTCACTGAAGACAATTGGTGAACGGTTGCTCAAACTTCGTGGATTGGTTGGAGTTAGACATAAACACCATGGGATGACGGCTCAGTGGTCTATTGGTTAATTGTTCTGGCACGAGTCTGCTAGGTCCTGAGTTCGAATCTCGTGGTCGTGGATATGCACTGCTGAGGAGTCTCACAATAGGACGAAACAGCCATCCAGTGCTTTCAGGATTTCTATGGTAGTATAGTTCCAATTGACTCATGATCTCATATATATAAAATATTCATTTTCATTTAGAAAATACTTGTACAAAATACATTTCAAATTTTGAATTACTGTCTAATTATTCATTTTTCAGAAGGGGTTTTGTGGAGATTTCAGTATTTTTTATAGTTGAAATCATGAGTCAATTGAAGCTAGACCACCAGGGAAAATCTGAAAGCACTGGAGCGCCGCTTCGTTCTATTGTGTGACTCCTCAGTAGTGCGTATCCACGATCCCGCACTCGCGAGATTTGAACCCAGGACATATCAGTCTCGCACACTAACTTTTAAACTCTAGATCACTGAGCCGGCCGTCATCCAACGGTGTTAATGTCTAACTTTAACCAATCCACAAAGTTTGAGCAACCATTCGAAAATTGTCTTCAGAGAGTTGTTAACTCACAACAGACGTGGTTTAACTCCACTGGTCAGTGCTTCCCACTAAAAATCCATTTTTCCTAGTATTTCACGTGTATCATTACTGAAATTTCTGTGTTAGTCAATAGTATGATGACTTTCATATTTTACTAATACGCATGAGTATCAATAATAGTATGGCTTGTTACAAAGAGAACCCATATGTTCTTAACGAAATACATCATAATAAATGTTACTTATAGGTATCAAATGACAAAAATATATTATTTATTTGAAACATACTTAATGGTGAGATATAGCATATACACTTGAAATTGCCTTTGCAATAACCAAGATTTAACAGAAATATTTATTGCTACATATTAACAGAATAACTCCGCCTGTAGCTCTTCTAGAGTTACTGCCGGTCCCAAGCCCGGGTAAAGGAGGAGGGTTGGGCATGGGGTTAGCGACCCCATACCGTAGAAAAGCTAACTCGCTAAAAAACGCTAACCAGAAAAAAATAATCCAAACCATTTAAACTCTGCCCTCCGAGTTGAAGGAATAATTATGACGTCTCATGATGAAAGCCGAAATTCTTCGGAAGTCACGAGACCGATGCACCTTCTAACAACCAGAGCAACACTCTTTATAGGTACATGAAACGTCCGGACAATGTGGGAGACAGAAAAGACCAGCCAAATAGCAAACCCACTGGACAACAAAGTCTAGGTACAGGAGAGATGCTGCTGTATTCCGATCACGAAGGGGAAAACGCTCCACACACTCAGGGAGTTGCTCTAATGCTGTCCAGAGAAGCACGAAATGCACTTGTGGGGTGGGAATCTCATGGACCCAGGATAATCAAAGCATCATTCACAACAAAGAATTAAGGGATCACAATGAACGTTATCCAATGTTATGCACCCACCAATGATAGCAACGACGATGATAAAGACCAGTTCTATGAAAGGCTGCAATCAATTATAGCAAAGTGCTCACGAAAGGACCTGACCATCGTGATGGGAGATCTAAATGTTAAAGTTGGAGTGGAAAACACAGGATATGAAGATATAATCGGACGACATGGACTAGGAGAAAGAAATGAAAATGGGAGAGACTTGCAAACCTATGTGCATTCAACAAATTGGTTATAGGTGGCGCAATATTCCCACACAAGCGCATACACAAAGCTACATGGATCTCACCGGACCAAACCACAGAGAACCAGATAGATCACATCTGTATCAACAACAAATTCCGAAGATCAATGGAAGATGTGAGAACCCGGAGAGGAGCTGACATAGCTTCAGATCACCACCTGGTTGTGGCCAAGATGAGACTGAAGCTAAAGAAACACTGGGCAACTGGACAGACAGCACTACAAAAGGTTCAATAGAGCCTTCCTTCGAGATATGAAACAACTGTATGATACAACGAAGAAATTGGCAGGAAGATATAGCAAACCAGAGAGACCATACTCATACGATGGACTACAGTGCACAGTGGTGCATGGAGAACAGCTGACAGATGCATTTCCAGTAAGGACCGGAGTCAAACAAGGCTGTCTACTCTACCCATTCCTCTTCCTTCTAGTGATTGACTGGATTATGAAGAACTCGACATCTGAAGGGAAATACGGAATACAATGGACAGCTCAGAATCAATTAGATGATTTGGACTTCGCAGATGACTTAGCCCTCCTCTCTCATACACACGAACAAATGCAGATGAAGACAGCAAATGTAGCAGAAGCCTCCGCATCGATAGGCCTCCACATTCACAAAGGAAAAAGCAAGATTCTCAAATGCAACACGGAAAACACCAACCCAATCACACTTGATGGCGAAACTCTGGAAGAGGTGGAAACTTTCAAGTACCTGTTTAGCAGTATCGTTGATAAATAAGGAGGATCGGATGCAGATGTAAAGGCGAGGATTGGCAAAGCAAGGGCAGCATTTCTACAATTGAAGAACATATGGAACTCAAAACAACTCTCAACTAATTTCAAGGTTAGAATCTTCAATACGAACGTCAAGATAGTCCTACTGTATGGAGCTGAAACGTGGAGAACTACTACGACCATCATCAGGAAGGTACAAGTATTTATAAACAATTGTCTACGCAAAATACTCAACATCCATTGGCCGGATACTATCAGCAACAGCGTTTTGTGGGAGAGGACAAATCAGCTTCCAGCTGAAGAGGAAATTAGGAAAAGACGTTGGAAGTGGATAGGACATACATTGAGGAAATCACTAATGTGCATCACGACTCAATCCCTAACTTGGAATCCGGAAGGGAAGCGGAAAAGAGGAAGGCCAAAGAACACACTACGCCGGGAAATAGAAGCAGATATGAAAAGGATGAATAGCAACTGTAAAGGAAGACTCATGACAGAGTTGGATGGAGAATGCTGGTAAGCGGCCTATGCTCCTCGACGAGGGGTAACAGGCGTAAGTAAGTAAGTAAGTAATTAACGGAGTAATGATTACGCAACTGAATGTAAACTTTGGGTAGACTTCTACCCGAAGTTTGCGCTGATGATGTTGTTCAGAAGGACGATGAAAGTTCCACGACCAAACCATCCAGTTCAGAGAACAAACCCATATCAAAATCACCCACTTGAGCTACAAATATTTTCTACCATCTCAAAAGCCTAATTCAAAATAGAATTTCTTATGATATTCACATCAATAAACATCATTCTTAGTCTGTGTGTCTATTACACTATGAAATGATGACCAACGTTTAGTTAGAATATGTATAATTAGTGTACTCTTGGTTCAATATTCAAGAATACAAACTTTATTCCATAAAATTCAGTTTAATAGTGTGATGTTAGAAATTATGTTCATTGATATATTGACAAACACTCGTTAAAAATCTCTTTTATTGATATTAATAAAGACTGATACAAGTCAATTACAATATAAACTATATGAGGCATAATGTATATATCTATTTCCATTCACTAGTCAATCAAAGCTAACATTATCTAGATACATCAGTGTTATATTCTAGCGAAGAAATAAATACGGTTAACTTCCAGGAACTTATAATGGATGATTATTCTATATATATTCTTATGGTTTAACTATTCAGTAACTAGATTATCTATATCTATATTCATCTTATGACAAGCTTCATTTTGGCCCATTGATTATTATTATACGATTTACTGTACCTAAATTATATTCAGTTTATTGATTATTGTCACACACGTTCACAGTAACATTTGGCTTGATCTTGTACAAATAATATTTTCTATTTTATGGTGTGATGTGGTCTGTCTGTCTAGTATACATAAACCGAGTATGCTTGAAATAAACGATCCGCATAGATTCGCATAGCAGAAGCTGCAATTGGTGTTCTGGACTCAATTGGAAGAACTAGGCGAACAAATGACCAATAAGGACGCTAGATTGCTCATACCAGTTGAACGTCATTGATTTGTCAAATTGTTAAGGTCGGAAAAGTCGTAATTCCATCGGTGGATAATTCACGTGATAAAAGCCGGACATTAAACCAATAACGAATTAGCATGTATCCTATGTTTATTTTCTATAAGTCATAACAATCAGATTACATTTAACTGCATTCAGTCAAATATCATGAAACGTTTATATTTATCATTGTTACCAATTTTAAATTGTGAATTACATTTGTCTAATGGTATTCTTGCTATAAGCAAAAGGAAAATCAAGACTCTCCGATACAATACAACATGCACTAATCAAATTACACTTGACGGAGAAGCTTTGAAAGATGTGGAAACCTTTACATATCTGGGCAGCATCATTGATGAACACGACAGATCAGATGCAGATGTGAGGGCGCGGATCGGCAAAGCAAGAGCAGCATACTTACAACTGAAAAGCATCTGGAGCTCAAAACAATTGTCAACCAACACCAAGGTTAGAATTTTCAATACAAATGTCAGACCGTTCTACTGTATGGATCAGCATTTTGGAGAACTACGAAAGCCATTATCCAGAAGATACAAGTGTTTATTAACAGCTGTCTACGCAAGATACTTCGGATCCGATGGCCAGACACTATCAGCAATAAGTTAGTGTGGGTAACAACAAATCAGATTTCAGTGGAGGAAGAAATCAGGAAGAAGCGCTGGAAGTGGATTGGGTACACTTTGAGGAAATCACTTAATTGTGTCACAAGACAAGTCCCCACATGGAATTCTGAAGGTCGAAGGAGAAGAGGAAAACCAAAGAACACATTACGCCGAGAAATAGAGACAGACATGAGAAGAATGAACAAAAGCTGGATAGAACTAGAAAAGAAGGCCTAGGACAGAGTGGGTTGGAGAAAGCTGGTCGACGGCCAATGCTTCATTGGGAGTAACAGGTGTAAGTAAGTAAGTAAGTAAGTAATTTTTTAACATACAAAGTACAAAATGTTATTGACATAATAATTCATTTCATTTTGTTTCTATTCTATTTTTTAGTTAAAGTACTTGTCATTATTATCTTAGATTTGAGTGCCTTGCTCCTTGCACTACTTGGAAGTTCATTACTATTAAGTGGAATATTCTTATTGAATATTAAACGTAAATGTACATTTTATCATATATCAATTGTATTACATATACTTTCATGTAAGTTCTCTATCAAACAAATTTAAGTGTTAAGTTTTATAATCTTTCTTTTCGTTACTTTAATTAACTGAAAACAACAAATCTGTTGGCGAGACTATAATTTATGGATGACCTTCGAAAGAATCTTAAGTGACCTTAAGAATATTAGCCAATCAGAAGACAGTTAGTGTAGAGTAAAAATATATTATACAACACCGACGAATTAGAAAGGATACCGATCGTACAGGAGTATTAGGTGCAGAAAACGGCGCCGTGAACTTGAATTCCTTCAAACGCTTCTAACTGGCTCGTCCATAAATTATAGTCTCGCCACTTACAAATTCTGTGAATTCGAACAAAATAAATGAAACACTCAATTAGTATTAGGTTTTTTTATAAAAAAGATGTATGGATTGTTTAATTTTAATTACTGAAGATTCGATCATATGTTATTTTGAAATTCCAAGTTACAATCCCTCCCAATGTTAATTCGTAATAATACTTATAGTTTTAAATGAATTATCTAAATATCCAAAAAATTCAGGAAGTTTTTTAAGAGTTAACATAATCAGAAGGGGTTTTGTGGAGATTTCAGTATTATTCATAGTTGAAATCATGAGTCAATTGAAGCTAGACCACCATGTAAACCTGGAAGCACTGGACAGTCATTTCGTTCTATTATAGGACTCCTCAGTAGTGCGTATCCACGATCCCGCACTCGCGAGATTTGAACCCATGACCTACCAGTCTCGTGCCATAGCACTTAACCGATAGGCCACTGAGCCGGCCGTCATCCAACGGTGTTAATGTTTATCTTCAACTGATCCACGAAGTTGAGCAACCATTCACCAATTTTCCTCAGTGAGTTGATATCTCACGACAGACGTGGTTTGAACTCCACTGGTCACTGCTTCTCAGTAGAACTCCTTTCAAAGTCAGTCGCTAGTGAGGATGTGATTATTATTATTATCAGAAGGGGGTTTTTGTTGAGATTTAGTATTTTCATAGTTGAAAGCGTGAGTCAATGAATTGTCCAAATATCCAAAAAAATCAAGAAGTTTTCTAAGAATTTATATAATCAAGAACTATTTAATAAGGCAGGAGAAAGATAATACCACTTAACGAATTATATCTTAAATTTATGCAATCTGAATCATATCCCTTACAAAAAAACAGATTACCTCTGCACGACTAGATACAAGTAAGAACTGCATATTAGTAATTATTTGTTTAATAACAAAAAACTCATGAAAAACGTTAACAAAAGTTAATTTCATACTATTGTTTAGCTTAGAAAGTGCAACCAAATACGAATCACCGTGTCCGCAGAATATGATAGATCCATTACATTTGATTATATATCCTTAACCATATACTTTACATTTTTTGCATAGTTTTATTCCAACCACATCAGATACCAGTAATCGTAGTTCATTATGTAACGCTACTTTAGTGATTAAGCGAGTATGGACAACGGAGGGACACCAGTAATAAATTGGTTCATTCTATTCAAGCAAAAAAATATTTTACAAAATTTTACAGAAATATATCCTAAATATTTTATTAGAAATGAATCACTGTCAAGTTTCATTTGGACAATCAACCAATCATATCATCGAAATGTGTCAGCCAATAAAATTAAAATAATTCATCCTAGAGAACAGCCAATCACTACAATTCATCATGTATCAGTCGTAAATAGTTGACCAATAGGATAACAAAGGGGTCCGACCAAACTTTTTCGAGTTTACTTCAACTAAAAAATTGAATCGCCTGAAGTAAACAAACTTGTTGTTAATTTAAATCAGATAAGAATTAAATATTCTTAAAGAAAATAATGTCAAATAATAAACTCAGAATATAAACACATATCTGATGATATATTGAAAGCAGTTAACAAAACAAATATAGATAGCTTTGTAAGCAAAGATAGATAGTGGCTAGCAGTGGAATTCAGGACGCACGTTTCGTCCTATTTGACGATGCTTGCGAATTAAGGCTATATCGAGGCAATATGCACAGTATGCACATATGCCAATTAGAGACTGACCAGTTGAAGTCCTAAAAATCAATTGGAAGATTCAAACAAACAATACTAAGTGAATTAAAATATAGATAGCTTCCAGTCGACTTATATAACTGAATGCTTATGAATATCAAGTGAAAGATAACTCTGATCAAAAACTGACATCAACTGAAAGACCAATGAAAACCATAGTACTTAATTACTTACTTTCGCCTGTTACTCCCAATGGAGCATAGGCCGCCGACCAGCTTTCTCCAACCCACTCTGTCCTGGGCCTTCTTTTCTAGTTCTTTCCAGTTCTTGTTCATTCTTCTCATGTCTGTCTCTATTTCTCGGCGTAATGTGTTCTTTGGTTTTCCTCTTCTCCTTCGATCTTCAGGATTCCATGTGAGGGCTTGTCTTGTGACACAATTAAGTGATTTCCTCAAAGTGTACCCAATCCACTTCCAGCGCTTCTTCCTGATTTCTTCCTCCACTGAAATCTGATTTGTTGTTACCCACACTAACTTATTGCTGATAGTGTCTGGCCATCGGATCCGAAGTATCTTGCGTAGACAACTGTTAATAAACACTTGTATCTTCTGGATAATGGCTTTCGTAGTTCTCCAAAATGCTGATCCATACAGTAGAACGGTCTGACATTTGTATTGAAAATTCTAACCTTGGTGTTGGTTGACAATTGTTTTGAGCTCCAGATGCTTTTCAGTTGTAAGTATGCTGCTCTTGCTTTGCCGATCCGCGCCCTCACATCTGCATCTGATCTGTCGTGTTCATCAATGATGCTGCCCAGATATGTAAAGGTTTCCACATCTTTCAAAGCTTCTCCGTCAAGTGTAATTTGATTAGTGCATATTGTATTGTATCGGAGAGTCTTGCTTTTCCCTTTGTTTATATTGAGACCTACTGCTGCTGAGGCTGCTGCTACACTGGTCGTTTTCTCCTGCATTTGTTGTTGCGTTTGTGATAGAAGAGCCAGATCATCCGCGAAGTCTAAATCGTCAAGCTGCATCCTGCCTGTCCACTGTATCCCGTGCATTCCTCCAGATGTTGACGTCTTCATGATCCAGTCGATGACCAGGAGAAAGAGAAAGGGTGAGAGTAAGCAACCTTGCCTCACACCGGTCTTTACTTGAAACGAGTCGGTGAGTTGTCCTCCGTGGACGATTTGGCAGTTTAGTCCATCATAGGAGTTCCGCCGTAGTGTCGAAGAAGCCTCCATAGTGTCGTCCTGTCCACGCTATCAAATGCCTTCTCGTAGTCGATGAAGTTGATGTACAGTGATGAATTCCATTCGATTGATTGTTCCACAATGATACGTAGAGTTACGATTTGATCTGTGCACAATCTATCCTTACGAAATCCAGCTTGTTGATCTCGAAGTTGGGCGTCCACGGAATCCTTCATCCTGTTTAACAATACTCGGTTGAAGACTTTCCCTGGTATTGAGAGAAGAGTGATGCCCCTGTAGTTGTCGCACTTGCTCAGATCGCCTTTCTTTGGTATCTTGATGAGAAGTCCTTTTTTCCAGTCTGTTGGTACATGTTCTTCGTCCCAAATCTTACCGAAGAGGATGTGGAGTATCTTGGCAGTTGCTGTTACAGTTGCTTTCAGTGCCTCTGCTGGGATGTTGTCTGGTCCCGCTGCTTTGTCACTCCTGACTTGTCTAATAGCCATGCTGATCTCTTCAATTGTTGGTGGGCCAATATCGATTGGGAGGTCTGTAGGTGCTGCTTCGATGTTGGGTGGGTTCAGTGGAGCTGGTCGATTCAAGAGTTCTTTGAAGTGTTCTACCCACCTGTTTCGTTGTTCTTCAATATCGTTGATTACTTTTCCTTCCTTGCTCTTCACTGGTCTTTCTGGTTGACGGTAATTTCCAGCAAGTTTCTTTGTTGTATCATACAATTGTCTCATGTTTCCTTCTCTTGCAGCCTTTTCCGCTGTCATCGCTAAATCTTCCACATATTTACGTTTGTCGGTCCTGATGCTCCTCTTCACTTGCTTGTTTGCCTCTGTGTATTCGGCTTGTGCCTTGGCTTTTTCTGCTCTTGTTCGGCTGATATTGATTGCTACCTTCTTGTTCCTCCTTGCTTCAATTTTATCCAGTGTACCAACAGTGATCCATTCCTTGTGATGGTGCTTCTTTTGGCCCAGAACCTCCTGACATGTTGAAACGATTGCCTCCTTGATACCTTTCCAGCTGCTCTCTATGGTGGTTCCCTCTCCATTGAGTAGGTCATGAAAGGCCTCGAACCTGTTGCTGAGGGCTATGTTAAATTCGTTGAGTTTGTCAGCATCTCGAAGAAAGGCCGTGTTAAACTTTTGTGATGTTGTCCGCGCCATTGTCCAGTGCTTCTTGAGTTTTAGTTTCATCTTGGCGACCAGCAAATGGTGATCGGATGCTATATCAGCTCCTCTTCTGGTTCTCACATCCTCCATCGTCCTCCTGAACTTTTTGTTGATGCAGACATGGTCGATTTGATTTTGTGTAGTGTGATCCGGTGAAATCCAAGTGGCTTTGTGTATGTTTTTGTGTGGGAATATGGTGCCACCTATGACCAGTTTATTGAAGGCACATAGGTTTGCAAATCTCTCACCATTTTCGTTCCTTCCTCCCAGTCCATATTGTCCCATGACGTCTTCGTATCCAGTGTTGTCCTTTCCAACCTTGGCATTGAAATCTCCCATTAGAATGGTCAGGTCCTTGGTTGGGCACTTCTCGAAGATTGACTGCAGCCTATCGTAGAATTGGTCTTTAGCGTCTTCATCGTAGTCGTTGGTCGGCGCATAGCATTGGATGATGTTCATTGTAGTGCCCTCTCTCTTTGTTCTGAAGGAGGCTTTGATGATCCTCGGTCCATGAGATTCCCATCCTATAAGTGCATTTTGTGCTTTTCTAGACAGCATCAGTGCCACTCCTTGTGTATGTGGGGCATTTTCTTCTTCATGACCGGAGTATAACAGAAGTTCTCCTGAAGACAGTCGTTGTTGTCCAACA